CTCAGCATCAAGGGGTTAAACAACACTTTGTTGAAGAGCACAGTTTAGAGCTGATTCACACAAATATGCGGTGCGGATTGAAGCTCAGGTTGTTCGGCGGTTCATGTCAGGTTTATATCAGGTTCAGGACAGGATTAGTTCAGAATTTTATCCTGTTCAGACATATGTGGTTTAGAAATGATTCCCATTGAAGTCAATAGCCTGTAATCCGCACCTGAACCTGAAAGCACTGCTTAGAAATCGTACATGACTCTTTTTCAAACCGCACTGAAACCGCACCACCAGTGCACCGGACATATGTGAACAGGCACCATAGGAAGCAATGTTATTTCCCATGTCATGCGGATTGGATGCGGTTCAAACAACATCCAGCTTGCGTACAGTGAAGGAAATATGTATTTGATCCCCTGCTGATTTTGAATGTTTGCCCACTTGCAAAGAAATTATCAGTCTAAACATTGAATGGTAGATGTATTGTAACACTGAGAGACATCAAATGATTACACCAACTGTTGTCACCTACTTACCAAGAAGCTTGGTGATAGTTTTGTAGCCCAGTCCAGCCTTGTGTAGGTCTACAATCTTGTCCCTGACATCCTTGGACAGCTCTTTGGTCTTTGCCATGGTGGAGAGTTTGGAATCTGATTGTTTGATTGCTCCTCTGGACAAGTGTCTTTTATACAGGCAACAAAATGATTAGATTAGCAGCACTCCCTTTAAGAGACTGCTTCTCATCTCAGCTTGTTACCTGTATGAAAGACACCTGGTAGCCAGAAATCCTGCTGAATGATAGGGGATCAAATACTTATTTCCCTCATGAACATGCAAAAAAGTGCATCATTTCTTTTGAATGTTTTGTTAATATTCTGTCTCTCAGTGTTACAATACACCTACCATTCGATTTTTAAACTGATCATTTCTTTGTTAGTGGGCAAACATTCTCAAAATCAGCAGGGGATCAAATACTTATTTCCTTCACTGTATATGTGAATCGACACTTAAATAGCATTTTTTTGCATAGTGCAACCCACTAAGGATCACTTCATTTGCAAATGGGCACTTTATTGGACTTTTAGATCATATAAGCACTAAATTGTGGAATGGTTATTTCATTTGTTTTTATTGGTTTAAACTCAACAGTTAAGCGCTATATAGTATGTGTATGTACATACATCCTAATGGGTGTTGATATTTAGCAACTTAGTGCTGGTGATATTATCTAATTTGGGTTTTTATTTCAGAAAATCAGCACAATTGATGGCACAATTATATTAGCTATTTTCGTTTTTCGATCGACAGAACTTTAGTTTTTTCAAATTGTCTTTGGCCTGCCTAACAGAAGTGATACAATGTTTCTAATGTAAACACCTGTACCCTTTAGAAAACCTGCTTGTCATCAGACAATGGGCATGTAAATGTTTTGCGTACTGATAATAAAAGACCATAAGGCTATGAGTACAGCTGTTTGTAATTTGCATTACCGTTGATAGATGTTTCCTGTTGCTTCTTCTCCTCTAAACTTCATTTGTGAGGAACTGCAGTATCATTTAAAGTGTTATTAAACCCAGCACCATGTATCCACTCTTATCTGGTCTCCCACAGTACACAGAACATGGAAATACAATTATTTTAGTAAATATAAACTGCTAAATACCTTTTCTCATTAGCAGTTATAGCATTCTTGTGACTTCTATCAGTGTCCAGCGCAGCACTAGCTAAAGCTTGTAGGAGGAGTTTTCTTTCTGCTTTAGGAGGATACAAAACCCCTGACCTCTGTCTGGACAGTGCTGATTGGCCCTGTGCTGATCACATGCACTCTTCCAAGAAAAAATAAACTTTCTAGCAAAACACACCAAACTGGGCATGTGCATGCCTACGGTTCAGTCTGGAGATAAGTGGTGGTCACTTGAAAAAGGGGAGGAACAGAGAAAAAAGGATCAAACATCCTTTTTATACAATGCAGAGGATTAACCCCTTAGGTTCCACAGTGAGTATAACAAGCATGCTTTACTGCATCTACAGACTGATTTTACTATTGTGGGTTTAGTGGCACTTTAATATACAATGGAGATGGCTACGCTTACTACTGCAAATAGAAGAAATGGTAAAGATGATCAAATCTATTTGTCAGTTCTAGTGATATGTAAATGGCACTTTAATAAAAAAAAAAAAAGACATATAATACTGTAATGAAATCTGCATTTCTTGAGATGAAATAGTGACTGGCTCTTCACACTATGCAAGTAGTGACTTTTGTCCCAAAGTCAGAGCTCTGGCTCAGACCATGCAATGCAAGTATTTCTATTGGTTACAAAAGAGCATTGTATTTAGGGATTGGGGTGGGGGTAAAAGTGGGGGCATATGTTTTCAAGCGGTGAAAGCTAAACCAAGGTACATGTAGTACACTCCCAGTGTTTAATTTCAGTGTTAAACAGTTGACAGGCTGGTTTGCCTTTTCTGTTTCTGAAATTATATGATAACTAAAAAGCTATTTTGTAGTGATAAAATAATAAATTACACATTAAAAAACATCAGCAGGATGGCACAGCATGCTTTCTGTTTTTCACAAGCATGACTGGGTGTAATTGAAGTGTTTATACATTGTTGCTAAGAGCGGGGTAATGGGTAATGAAGCCGCATTTACACTTTCTAGCTGCAGAGGTCTGGTGGAAGTTGGGGACTGAGACTATCTATAATCAGTGTAAAAATAGAACTGTTTGATATGCACAAGGAACACATTCTAAAATGAGACGTGCAAAAATAGAAATATTGAACCCTAAAGCATAAAGTGCTATATCATTCATTACAGCTATTGGGGTTAGCTTCTAAAGGCAAATAGGCTTTTCACTTTTCAAGGGAATTGTCCCCAGAGCTTAGGTGAATGAAGTAAAGCCCTGGTGCCTTCCATCATCCAATCATGTGTAAGCAGACATGCTGTTTTTTTTATTTTCCTTGCACCTGATTGGGTCATTCTTTGCAAAGTGAAATTCCATTGCCATTGGGTAGCTCTGGGGCAAATGCCCTTGCAAAGTGAACAGGCTATTTGCTTTTTGTTAATTAACCCCATTGCATTTAGGCCTGTTTCATGAAGATGTGAACTTGAGATTTAGCAATAATTTGGCAAGTTATTACTGAACTTTGGTACATGCAAAGTGAAAAGTAGATTGCAAGTTTTAATAAATACAAAAGCTAAAGCAATATAAAGGATCCTTTTTTTAAAAAAAATAAAATAATAAACATAATTATAATAGTCATAATTATTTGCTCGCACAAAGCAGCCTCGATCTTCTTCCTCTGAGGTCCCCTGACGGTGCTACAGCTCTGCAGAGCTGCAGCAGGTGTGACGCCATGCCGCCGGCGCCACGAGGGGCCCCGGCGGCCATCTGATTCACCTTCATGGTCAGTACTTTTGTTTTCATTCCTCACTGTATTCACACTCCATATATGGAATAAACTATCTTAAAGATACTGCACTATGTGGGCTCCTTTGTTTCTTTGAGCTGTCCTGGGAGCCAATCACACCCGCAGAACCAGCTGCATCCTTTGTGAGGAGACCCCCATGTGAGCAGGCTGTATCCATTGTGTGGTGACCCCTATGAGTGATAGCACCGCCAGGGAGTGAAGGATAACCTGACCAGATCTGACCAGACCCATTTTGATGACATCCTGAAGACCAGTGGCTTACTACTATTTATGCACATTTGATTTGCGTATCTGGTGAGTGCGCAATCTCATCATCATTTATCACCTGATCCACGGTCCGTATCACTGGATATCCTGAGATCATTTGAGATCTTATCAACACTTTTTCTTTGTGGACTTTTAACTGAGTCAACACCTTCTAGCACCTTTGGCCACCATCCAGTGGCTTATGTATTTGCACCTTGTCACTTTATATTTATATCTGTATTTATTTGATATTGTGTATTTTACTAGTGCTGCACCCCCTCTTTTATAGACATTGGTGACTGACAGTCTCTGCTCTGTGCTCACAGCGGCTGTGGGAACTCAGTGGTCATGTGATCACTGAGTTCTTACCCTTTGAGCCGGCGAGGGACAGATGCAGCATCGGACCAATGCTGCATCCACCTAGGTAAGTATGATTTTGAAAAAAAGGGAAAAAAAATGCCATACTTCTCTTTTAGGGATTTAATTTTTTTTTTTTAAATTATAACTTGAGCTTTATTTTTGGGAAATGGTTAAATTAGTGTGTTGTGTTCCAATTTAATGAGCAATTATGAGACACCCGTCCCTTTGTCCTTTTAGAGCAAAGTGTCAAAGTGTGCTGATAGTCCCTTCCACTCCCAGCAAATGATACTTATGCTGTTTGTACACCGGATTGCTGACTAACCGTTCACTTTAATGGTACCTATAAGCAGCTTGTGGAGGCTGAAGTGGGGCACTGGATATATGTTTACCTCTTTGGTGTTTGACTTAAAAAATATATGTAAACCCAGTATTTCATATTCCTGATATGTGCTTGTATATAAAAGTATCCTTTTCTCTTTATATTGTTTCCTTTCCTGCCAGTCTTCCTATTAAAAACTGATCACAATAAGCATAAGAACACACCGTAGTCAGTTGTCTAGCTGTGGTGGGAACTCATTGTGCTCTCCTTCAATGATCAGATTTGTCCAGACACCCCCCCCCCCCCCCCCCCCTTACAACCTTTAATTGGGAAGGTCAGTGTGTCAGTGAGCTTAGAACAGAGATTATCTGATAATTTATAAAAAAAAAGGTGTTTATAATGGTTTTTTTTTTTATTATATATACAAATAATGTTTTTTATTTTCTCATTCCTCCTACCATTCATCCCCCCCAGCCACTTCCTACTGTACCTTTACCCCCTCCCTCCTAGATTGTAAGCTCGTAAGAGTAGGGCCCTCTTACCCCTCGTACGCTGTCTGTCTTTGTTGTACTGTGCCATGTATTGTCCCCCCCTATGTACATTTGGCGCTATTCGTAGTAATAATAATAATCTATTTTAATTTCTATTTTAAACTGAATGGGCTATTTTACAAGGTAAGGGTTTACAATCTCTTTAACCACCTCCCGTCCGGCCGTTGTATATAAACGGCCGGAGGGTGGCAGTGCAGGGTCGGGTGGCTGTTTATAAATGGCCTCCCTGCCCCCTGCTTGTGCACACTCCGGGCACAGTGGAACACCGATCGTCGGACGGGACCTCTGTACGAGGTCCCGATCATGTGATCACTGATTGGCCAATCAGTGATCACATGCAAAGTAGTAAGCAAGATGTCACTTCTGACATCATTGCTTACTACGTGTGAAATCTGTGAATGATCATAGAGGTCACATGGTACAAGGCTATTCACAACAGCCTTGTACCATGTGACAAGCTGTGACCAATAACAGCTCACACAGTAGTTTTCAATGGCTGCAAGAATGCAGCCAGAGAGAATGAGAAATGATTGCTTTTACAGCCTTTATGGGTATAAAAGCAATCAGTGTAAAAAAAATCTTTATCACCCCCCACAAGTAGTACAGTGCTAGGGTTACAGTATGTTAAAAAAAAAAAAAAACATAAATAATAATATAAAAAATAAAAATGTAAAAAAAGTTTAAAAATTATAATTTTTGGTTATAAACTAATTTGGGTTATTTTTTTTTACTAAAAAGATAACGGAATAAATTTTGGCCAAGATTTATGATGAAATATTATTTATTTGCAAAATTTTATAAGAAAAACACTTTTTTCAAAATGTTTGGACTTTTTCATTTACATAGCAAAAAAAAATAAAATCCCAGTGGTGATTAAATACCACCAAAATAAAGCTTTGACAATTAAATACGGTGTTCCCTTCCTTTATTCACAAACTTCCCCAGAACGCATATAAACACTTTAAACCCCAAAAAGTGTGATACATTTTGGGGTTTAAGTTTATATGCGTTTTGGGGAAGTTTGTTAATAAGGGAAGGGTACACTGTATTTGATTGTCATTATTTTGCACTAGGGGGGTTTATTTGTATTTATATACTTGGGATACTAAGCATACTTCATAAAAATAAAGCTTTATCTGTCTCAACAAAATGCTAAAAAATTCATTCAAAGTGTGATAGCGCTGAAAGCTGAAAATTGGACGGGACAGGAAGGGGGTGAAAGTGTCCGGACATGAAGTGGTTAAGGGTAGTAGCACCTAACATGTTGCATTGTTCTTTCACACTCAGCGTGGACTGCTGCAGGAGGGGTGCAGTAGACAAAGTGAAATTTCTGACCGTAGCACAGTCTTTTTCTTGTAAATATTAGAAGAGTCTATTGTTATTTTTGTATTGTTTGGAATACAGAATTCTGACCATTGGTGACCAATAATGAGTTTTGTGGACTTGTACCACAGTTCAGATCTCACCAGGAGTTGTTCGAGTTGAAATCCAAATGATAGCTTCTGTTCCTGGTAAATGTAAATCGGCATTTGATTTCCAGCAAGATACAGGGCACAATGAATGTATTTATTGCTGACAGCCAGTGTCTCAGTGTTATACTGGAGGTAAATGCAAATCTCTTGTATGTGTATGGCATCTAATCAGATGCAAGATCTCTATCTCCCTTTAAATCTACTACTTTAAGTGGCAAAATATTTCTTATGCTGTTTCCAGCATTGTGCATCAGCAAGCCGTGCAGAGGAGTTAGAAGACTTGAAGCGTCTCTAATGACTCTATTACTTTTCTGTAGAATTGTTCCTCGAAGAACGGCATATTTAAAACATAGACGCTCCATTGACTAATGTTCTTTCAGAGGCACAGATTAATACTATTAAAAATTTTACATTGCTTTCCTGTGTATTTGTAAGCAGTTCTAAGGTAGAAAACACGTTCCGCTGTTGATATATAGTTAGTAAACTTTACGTCTATCTGTATCTTGTATTACATGAACTTGATGTATCACCCAATGGCTGAAGGGCAAACCATTTGTAAAGTGGCAAGTGTACAATAAGAGCTTGAACCAGTTGCTGAAGCTTGCTTTAACTCTCATACAAAGTATTCCTAAGCATTTCATTATGTTTGAGTCTACTTTTACTCCACTTATTGCCTTCCATGTACAGAAATTTTTTCCGTAGCCCTGATGAGCGGGGATCCTCTGGAGCACCCAAAATTACAAAAATAATGGTCCCCCTTTCAAATACCAGCATGACGATAGTTCTGAGGCCTTATACATCACTGTATCTATTAGATTGTAAGCTCTAAGGAGCAGGGCCCTCTGTTTCCTCTTGTACCAAATTGTATTGTAACTGGAATGTCTACCTTCATTTTGTAAAGAACTGTGCAAACTGTTGCACTATATAAACCCTGTATAATATGAATGTAAGGCCTAGTGAACAGAGGTAGTGCAGAAAGAGGGCCAGTTTTCTGCATACCTAGTCAGGTTGGCAAGGGCATCACACATCATGTTGCTGACTGTCAGTAACAATTCACTTTACACTGTACTACTTGTGGGGGGTGATGAAGATTTATTTTTTTTTTTTACACTGATTGCTTTTACACCCATGAAAGCTGTAAAGGCAATCATTTCTCCTTCTCTCTAGCTGCATTCTTACAACCATTGAGAACTACTGAGTGAGCTGTGATTGGTCACAGCTTGTCACATGGTACAAGGCTGTTGTGAATAGCCTTGTACCATGTGACCTCTGTGATCATTCACAGATTTCACACATAGTAAGCAATGATGTCACAAGTGACATCTTGCTTACTACTCTGCATATGATCACTGATTGGCCAATCAGTGATCACATGATCGAGACCTCACACAGAGGTCCCGTCCATCCATCGATGTTCCACTGTGTCCGGAGGACACAGCGGGCACCGAATCGCAGTGCTGCACGCTCCGAGGGAGTGCGCACAACTAGAAAATGTGGGTGCCGTTTATGAACAGCAATCTGCCCCTAGAGTGACACCGTCCAGCCGTTTAAAAAACAGTAGGCAGATGGCAAGTGGTTAAAAAAAGAATCCAGTTGCCTACCGGGCACTTATACCCCCTTCCTGCCCAGGCCAATTTTCAGCTTTCAGTGCTGTTGCACTTTGAATGACAACTGCACGATCATGCAACACTGTACCCTTATGACATTTTTATGATTTTTTCCACACAAATAGAGCTTTCTTTTGGTGGTATTTACTCACTGCTGGGTGTTTTATTTTTTGCGCTATAAACAAAAAAAGAGCAAAAATTTAGAAGAAAAATAATTTTTTCTTTGTTTCTATTATAAAATTTTGCAAACAGGTAATTTTTCTCCTTCACTGATGTGCTTTGATGAGACAGCACTGATGGGCACTGATAGGCAGCACTGATGGGCACTGATAGGCGGCACTGATGAGGTGGTACTGATAGGCGGCACTGATGAGCTGGCACTGATATGTAACAATGATGGGCACTGATAGGTGGCACTGATGGGTGGCATTGAGTGGTGGCACTGCTGGTCACTGACTGGTGGCACTGCTGGGCACATACTGGCGGCACTGATGGATGGCACTGCTGGGCTCTGGTGGGTGGCACTGCTGGGCATTTGTGGGCAGCACTGCTGGGCACAGATGGGCGCCACTGGTGGGTGGCACTGCTGGGCACTGATCATCAGTGCCCTGATGATCGGTGCCGATCCATCTTCTGACAATTGCCGGTTATCGGCAGTACTTTCCTCACACTGTGACAGCGTGAGGAAAGTGCAGCCGATAACTGGCAAGTGCATTTTCGGTGATCTGCTGTGTCATTGGACACGGCTGATCACGTGGTAAAAGGGCGCTGTGATTGGCCTTTTACCACCTCACGTGATCAGCTGTGTCCTTAGGACACAGCGATCATGGGGATCGCTGGGTGAGCGCCCCAGGGGGCGTGCAGGAGGGCGTATTCTGGGAGGACGTCATATGACGTCCTCCCAGAACTGGCTGGCCGCAGTATAGCTGTCATTCGGCTATCTGCGGTCGGCAAGTGGTTAATGCATTCTACTGAACTGGCCAGAACCAGCTCTTGAGGAAGTCTACTCCACATTTTTACAGTTTGTACTGTGAAAAAGCCTACCCGTATTTGGAGATTAACCTCCCTGGCGGTATTCCTGAGTGTAGCTCGGGGTAAAGTTTCAGTACCACAAGCGGTAACCCCGAGCTACACTCGGGCATACCATGCGGCGCTGCTCCGCGATCCCTCGATCACTTACCTTGTCCTGCGCTCCAGCGATGTCCCTCCTGCAGTGTCCCTGGCAATGTAATCCGGCGGATTCTGGCATCTGCCACCTGGGTTCCATCCCCTGCAAGCGTCGGGACGTACGGGGGATGGAACAGCGGGAAATTTGAAAATGAAAAAAAGTGGCATTCACTAAAATCACTAAAATAACATAGTAAAACATTACTGTATCAAACCATTTCACATACATTTTGTCCCGAGTGCTTTGTCCTGTGCCCTGCCTGCATTTTTACTGTTCTTTCCTGGAAAATGAGAAATGTCCATGGCGTCCAAAAAGCGTCCCTTTAGGTCAAAAGCGATTTTAGACCAGCTAGAGAACAGCGATATTAAATCAGAGCCACTTGCAGAATTGAGTGATAATGATTTGCGGGGAAATTCATCATCAGACACTGAAAACGATTTTGTGACTTTGCTCAGCGATGTGCGAACTTGGCGCTATATTTCACATTTCAGTGTTTTTGGTTTGATTATATTATTGAATTAAATTTATTATTATTATATTATTTTTTATGATTATTTATTAAATTATACTTTATGATTTTGTGTTTCAAGTTTTATCATACCTGGGATGTTTACTAGACTCTTGTTCGGACAGATTTCAGTGAGTTATTCCTAAAAATTACAGGCCTACAATAAAAAAAATACATATTTCCATGCAAAAAAAGTACCGCTTTGAGCACAGAAATATGGACATAATCAGACCGCTAGGGAGGTTAAATCTCTATTCCTGCAGACGTAAAGAGTGCCCCCTTGTCCTCTGTGATTACCTTAAACTGAATAACACCAAGTTCACTATATGAATCACTGATGTACAGTGGGGATCGAAAGTTTGGGCACCCCAGCTAAAAATTTGTATTAATGTGCATAAAGAAGCCAAGGAAAGATGGAAAAATCTCCAAAAGGCATCAAATTACAGATTAGACATTCTTATAATATGTCAACAAAAGTTAGATTTTATTTCCATCATTTACACTTTCAAAATAACAGAAAACAAAAAAATTGGCGTCTGCAAAAGTTTGGGCACCCTGCAGAATTTATACCATGCACTGCCCCCTTTGCAAAGCTGAGACCTGCCAGTGTCATGGATTGTTCTCAATCATCATCTGGGAAGACCAGGTTATGTCAATCTCAAAGGTTTTAAATGCCCAGACTCATCTGACCTTGCCCCAACAATCAGCACCATGGGTTCTTCTAAGCAGTTGTCTAGAAAACTGAAACTGAAAATAGTTAACGCTCACAAAGCTGGAGAAGGCTATAAGAAGACAGCAAAGCGTTTTCAGATGTCAATATCCTCTGTTCGGAATGTAATTAAGAAATGGCAGTCATCAGGAACAGTGGAAGTTAAAGCAAGATCTGGAAGACCAAGAAAAATATCAGACAGAACAGCTCGCAGGACTGTGAGAAAAACAATTCAAAACCCACGTTTGACTGCACGATCCCTCCAGAAAGATCTGGCAGACACTGGAGTTGTGGTACACTATTCCACTATAAAGAGATACTTGTACAAATATGGTCTTCATGGAAGAGTCATCAGAAGAAAACCTCTTCTACGTCCTCACCACAAAAATCATTGTTTCAACTTTGCAAATGAACATATAGACAAACCTGATGCATTTTGGAAACAAGTTCTGTGGACCGATGAGGTTAAAATTTAACTTTTTGGCCGGAATGAGCAAAGGTACGTTTGGAGAAGAAGGGGCACAGAATTTAATGAAAAGAACCTCTGTCCAACTGTTAAGCATGGGGTTGGATCAATCATGCATTGAGGTTGTGTTGCAGCCAGTGGCACAGGGAACATCTCACGAGTAGAAGGAAAAATGGATTCATTAAAATGTCAGCAAATTTTGGATGGTAACTTGATGCCATCTGTGAAAAAGCTGAAGTTAAAGAGAGGATGGCTTCTACAAATGGATAATGATCCTAAACACACCTCGATATCCACGGGGGATTACATCAAGAGGCGTAAACTGAAGGTTTTGCCATGGCCTTCACAATCTCCTGACCTCAACATAATTGAAAATCTCTGGATAGACCTTAAAAGAGCAGTGCATGACAGACAGCCCAGAAATCTCAAAGAACTGGAAGACTTTTGTAAGGAAGAATGGGCAAAGATACCTCAAACAAGAATTGAAAGACTCTTGGCTGGCTACAAAAAGAGTTTACAAGGTGTGATACTTGCCAAAGGGGGCAGTACAAGATATTAACTCTGCAGGGTGCCCAAACTTTTGCAGACGCCATTTTTTTGTTTTCTGTTATTTTGAAAGTGTAAATGATGGAAATAAAATCTAACTTTTGTTGACATATTATAAGAATGTCCAATCTGTAATTTGATGCCTTTTGGAGATTTTTCCATCTTTCCTTGGCTTCTTTATGCACATTAATACAAATTTTTAGCTGGGGTGCCCAAACTTTTGATCCCCACTGTATTTATACATGTTGATCATATCCCCCCTTAATCTCCTCTTCTCAAGAGAGAATACATTTAGTTCCAATAATCTTTCCTCATAGCTGAGCTCCTCCATGCCTCTTATCAGTTTGTTTGCCCTTCTCTGTACTTTCTCCAGTTCCCCAATGTTCTTTTTGTGAATTGGTGCCCAAAACTGAACTGCATATTCCAGATGAGATCTTACTAATGATTTGTACCGGGGTAATATGATCTCTCTCTCTGGAGTCTATACCTCTAATAATACAAGAGAGGATTTTGCTCGCTTTAGAAACCGCATTGTGGCATTGCATGCCATTATTAAGCTTATGATATACCAGAACACTCAGATCCTTCTCCACTATTGATTTCACCGTTGTACTTCCCCTAGTATGTATGATGCATAAACCACACTTTGAATAATATTTTAATTGCTCTTTGAAATGAGATTAACCCCAGCAGACAACTTGAAACTTGCTATGATGTCCACTGCAGTTAGCCATTAAAGATATAACCCTTAGCTACTTTTGCTTTTTGTGATTGCTATGCTTGGTTGAGTTGTGTTAATAAACTTTTTGGATTTTAACACATTTTATGTATGTTGATTCTTTGAGAGATGATGCACCTTAAAAATCCCATAAACCCTCTTTTCTGTCTTGAGGACAGATGTTGTTTAATAATGTCGGGATCTGGTGATTGCTAACTTCAATGGGACCCTAGGCATTGTCACATACTTTTGCTATTTGGCCAAAAAGTGCCTTTTCACAATCCCAGCTGACAAATGTCTCATTTGCTGTACATTGCGATCACTGTTGCAAATATTTTATAGCTGTTTACTACAGTTGCATTCATTAAATCCATACACATTGTTTATGTACATTGGAAACAACATGTCAATATATCAATGTAATTATGTTTGTTTATGTCTTATAGGGATTGGAAAGAATGTCATTTGTGACAGAACAGCAACACCTCTTGATGCTTTCCGCATGATGTCGGCAGCCCATTATTACCCGAAGTTGATGAGCATTATGGGAAATGTGTTACGATTTCTGCCTGCTTTTGTAAAGATGAAACAGCTGATTCAAGAGGGATATGTGGGGGAACTTCAAGTATGTGAAGTACAGGTTCACAGCGGAAGCCTCTTGGGAAAGAAGTATAACTGGAGCTGTGACGACCTCATGGGTGGAGGTGGACTGCATTCAGTGGGTAGCTACATAATTGATCTGCTGACTTTCTTGACCAGCCAGAAAGCAGTGAAGGTCCATGGGCTTCTGAAAACATTTGTGAAGCAAACAGACCATATAAAAGGAATACGCCAGATAACAAGTGATGACTTTTGTACATTTCAGATGGTTCTGGAAGGCGGTGTTTGCTGTACAGTTACTCTAAACTTCAATGTCCCTGGGGAATTTAAACAAGACATTATAGTTGTTGGATCAGCTGGTAGACTAATGGTATTGGGGACCGACCTCTACGGCCAAAGGAACACCTCATTGGAGAGAGAATTACTGTTAAAAGATTCTACACCTGTCAGCAACTCCCTCTTGCCTGAAAAGGCCTTTAGCGATATACCTTCCCCTTACCTGAGAGGGACTATTAAAATGGTACAGGCTGTGCGGCAAGCGTTTGAAGACCAGGAAGACAGGAGAACATGGGATGGCAGGCCGCTTACAATGGCAGCCACTTTTGATGACTGTCTGTATGCTCTGTGTGTAGTGGACACTATAAAAAAATCGAACCAGACTGGTGAATGGCAAAATATAGTAATAATGACAGAGGAGCCTGAGTTAAGCCCCGCTTACTTAATAAGTGAAGCTATGCGCCGAAGTCGTATGTCTTTGTACTGTTAGCAGCCATAGGTGACCAAATCTGGAACCATTTGTAGATGACTGCTGATTGACAGGCGTACATGTACCAGGCCTATGGTACAAGTTCGTGTTATAACTTATGCATCTCTGTATAACTGCTGTAGTTGGAAAGGAACTGAACTTTCCATTGCAGACAAGCTGTGAACATTTATGAGAATGTATTTTACCATGGGGTATTTAGCCACAAATGCATAACTTTATTTGCCTTTGAGCTTCAGAAATGGCTCACCACTGCAGATGTGTTCATTTTTAATAAGATAGTTTTTCTCTTAGAACATTTGAATGTCAGTCTTTTCCAAACTGCTCAATCATCCCTTGTGTCCTGTATTCAAAATTTCTTGACTCTTGTTTGCAGCATGAGTGGTGCGTATGTCCTAAACACATAGACTGCTATACCTACAAAGCACAATGCACACACATCTCACTTGAAGTTCCTTGTAAGTAGTATGCTGTTTAGGATGTATACTTCAATCTGAAATGTCCCATAATATGCATTACTGTTATTGTGTAATAATGGATGTTAAATTCAAGCCAAAAGCTTAAAATACACCCGGGCTAAGTATTTTAAGGACAAACTCATAGTGATAGTGTTTAGCATTTTGCCATTCAGGCTGGCACTACTAAATTAGAGCGTAAGTGGAAGACAGTTAGTTTGCAAAAACACTGCATATATGAAACCATTTTTTTTTCTTTTCCATAAAATATTGTATTTATAATAGTCTTTATAAAATTGTGTTTTTCTTTTCTTTTTTAATCATTTTTGCATCTCCTGTCTACATGCACATTCTCCAGCATCATTTCTCCGGATCTTCTTACTGATAGTAATAACAATGGACCATGCCCAATCAACTTCTAGGTTTTATTGTCAAAACTTAACTGAACAAGCTGCAGTAAGAAGCTGATTGGTTACTATGCACAGCTGCACCAGATTCTGTGTGCACCAGATTTAGTAAATCTCCCCTATTGCCTCCTCAGGGTCGCATGTGACAGCGTGACAACAGAGGAGCATGATAGGGAGACAGTATCACCTCATAACCGGAAGTGCCTGAACCAGGACCTTCATGGCAGGATAACATAGTATTAGTTTAAAGGCATTGTACACTTTTAAATGTTTTTGTTGTTTTATAACTGTAGTTATATTCTCTATGCCTTATCTTGTAATGATGGGCTTGCATGTTGTGGCTGCAGTTTGTAGTGTCTTGGCTGAACGATCTTCCTATGTTCACAGTTTGCTACAAACCTATTCACCAAAAGGACAAACACCCTCTCGTTCTGGTCACATAGTATTTAGTGCATGGCTTGCCATTTCCTCTGTGTTCCTCTGGCTCTGTCAGATTAATTCTAACCTTAACCTGCAGGGCACTAGAAAAAGGGATGCAGTGGTTGTGGATTATGTAGTTTCTTAACCAGAAGTGTCGGTTTTTGAACTACAGACAGAGATCATGCATTAACCTGTGCAGTTCCATGCTGCATGCCTCATGTTTGAACACAAACTGAAATTCTGACACCGGAATATGAAGATTTACACTACTACAGGCTGTTTGTACAGGCCAACAAATGGCACAATGAAAAATCAACACCAAGACACATCTTATGCAGGTTAAAACTAAAAGCTGCAGGTATGAAGGTTTATAATGCCTTTAATAAAAAAATATAAAATAAAGAAAGAAAATAACTTTTGGATTTGCACTATCATATTAAATCTTTTATGAGATTGTAGTGATTGGGTGAACATAAAACTTAAGGTAAGGGCACCTTAGTGTGCCTGCTATACACTTTCATTGTGTTTGTCTTTGAAAAGCTTAGCATGGGTTCTCTTTAATTTCTCTACCCTTCAGCCATATACTGTATATGATTGTCAACTTCACTAGAAACCATGACAATCCTACTGGAGCATTGGCATCCTATTAGTACCATTGACATAAATTCACTTTTTTATTTGTCAGTCTATTAAAATACCAGCCATGTAGCTACATTTGTGTAAAGATTTCTAATATTTTTTTTTCCCTCTTAAGAACATACAGTTTATATGCTTCATTGACCCTAAACCTTTAGGACTGATTTGGTAGACAAAAAGGAACAATCTGAAGTAAGAATCAGCATCTTCAAAGTTGGTCCCATCTTATAAAAGTTTGTTTTTATCATTACAAAGTAGCATGACTTTAAAAAGCAATGTACCAATGCTAAAAGGATGCCTTAGAACAGATACATGGATTTGTTTGTCTTTTATAAACATTACTGACAACAAAAATGTCTTTAAGAAGCTCTCATAAATGTTGCTGATTTTATTTCAAGTAAATGTCCATAATAGAACAAAAATGCCCCTAGCCTCTCTTAACACACACACAAAAGTCTGGTGCGAAGCCTCCTGGGACTACCTACTAACACCTTAATGACCTGAATGGGACAAACAAGTATGGCACGAGCAATGTCCTATTGAAGTCTAGGGGACATCTGTGCCCAGGTGTGGGCAGTTCTCCTTTAGATTTTTATTGGCCAGGGAATAGACATTAAAGCTGAAGGCATCAGAATTTGTAAGAATGGATATGCATGGGCAGGGACCTAGCAGTGTGTCTTGAGAAGGGTTGGAAGGGGTACCAATAAACTAAGAAACAAGTTAACATGAAAATCTAGACACAGAATAAGGACATATTTCAGTAGAGATTCCCCTTCTATATGTGCATTGAAAACATTCAGAAATAATAATAAATTGTGAAAGTACCAAAAGATCTAAAACAGTTCACGTAATCCTGCTGGTCTCTTTCCTATTTCATAACAGCCTAGGAGAAGGGATGTAGAGGGTCACGTGGTAATGTGATGTAGTGATATGACACAGGGAGATTTGTCCTGCAAATAAAATGGGCTTGAGACAGGACAGTGTTATGCTGTCATCAACGAAGTCAATGAATTGAGGTGCTGATATCAATGAAGTGTTCTTCACTCTTGACTGTGGTTTTAGAATCACCAAAATTTTGATTGAGGTGTCGTAAATACAGCCAAATTGGACTCAAGATTCAGTGCTTTATATGTTAAGAATGCTGGCTGCCGAACAATATTGTAAAAGCTGAGATGAAAAATAATGTTAAAGGCACATCAATTAAAGTGCATCTACATATAAACCAACCATAACACCACTTTCAGATCTTTTTGTTTAGCTGTCTGTGTCCCTTTGGAGATATTTGCCTTCACTCTCTGCCCCAAAGAACTAATAGAAAATGGGAGATTATTTCTTTTCTCCCCTCACCTCCTATTCTGGTGACAACCATAAAACCTTGCATTTCCAATCATATATTGTCCCGGTATGGATGGTCTCCAAGACAAATAGATAGGGTGAATATTCCAGAAAGAAAACAGACCGTGATAAATTGATAGAGGTTCAAACCTTTCCCCATGTTATCCAAAACAAAAAATACTTTGGCTATGGATACATTTAGGCCCCATTCACACCTCAGTGATTTGTAGCTTGAAGTTCTAAAACGCTTGGGGAGATGGTTCACATCTCCACTCCAAGTCTCCTGAAGCCAAACGCCTGAAGCTCAAGCAAGTTCTGGAGCTTTTTTGTCCCTGAAGGGTACGGATTTGTACATATTGAAAAAAAAGGGTCTCCTTATGTGTGAGCTCTGCTAATACAGTTGACAAATACTGCATGTATTTAAACATACACATGGATATATTAAACAGCTGTTTGCAGGATCATTTGATAAAACTACTGAAAGGATGTGAGAACCCCTGAAGAACTTTCCTCATCTCTGACAAAATCATGAAACATATATATATAGGTCGGCCATAGATGCAAGTTTGTTGCCAAGAACTAATAACAGGGTGATTTTTGTCAGCATTCATCACACTGCTCATAACCAGGAACTCACTTATACTGTCTGTGGTGCATGCACAATCACTTTGGATCCTTCACTTTTCTACACAGAAGATAGAAGGATTGGACCTGGTTGCAAGTTAGAACATTTCCATGTGCAATAAATTGTGCCTCCTACCATCTAAGGTGTTCATTGTGTTTCTTTTAGCCTGATAATTGCAATTAGTGTTAAGAACTGAAGATGCTCAAAGACTGAGGGATTGGACCTGCCCACAAGAAGATTTTCCAACAAGTTCAATCCCATGTAAACATTGTTTTCGGTTTTGGATAGACTAGGGGAGGGTTAGTACCTTTGAAGGTTCTTGCTGCTATCTGCTTCCTCATTGGGAAGCTTTCCCCTTATCTGCTGTTGCAGTGAATTATCACATGGACAGAATGTGATGGGAAGTCCGCTTCTCACTATCACTGTGGCAGGAGAATGGGTCTTAGAATGTTAGGACACAGTAGACACAGACAGCCAAATCTGACAGAAAATTCAACCATTCCTTAATCCAGCCTTTCTTAACTCTACAGGAACTCTAGTTTACAGGTCTCAGGGAACCCCCGCTAAAAATAATATACAGTCAGGTCAATAAATATTGGGAGATCAACACAATTCTAAAATGATTGGCTCTATACACCACCACAATGGATTTGAAATGAAATGAACAAGATGTGCTTTAACTGCAGACTGTCAGCTTTAATTTGAGGGTATTTTCATCCAAATCAGGTGAACGGTGTAGGAATTACAACAGTTTGCATATGTGCCTCCCACTTGTTAAGGGACCAAAAGTAATGGGACAGAATAATAATCATAAATCAAACTCACTTTTTAATACTTGGTTGCAAATCCTTTGCAGTCAATTACAGCCTGAAGTCTGGAACGCATAGACATCACCAGGCGCTGGGTTTCATCCCTGGTGATGCTCTGCCAGGCCTCTACTGCAACTGTCTTCAGTTCCTGCTTGTTCTTGGGGCATTTTCCCTTCAGTTTTGTGTTCAGCAAGTGAAATGCATGCTCAATCAGATTCAGGTCAGGTGATTAACTTGGCCATTGCATAACATTCCACTTCTTTCCCTTAAAAAACTCTTTGGTTGCTTTTGCAGTATGCTTTGGGTCATTGTCCAT